TCGTAAAGTCTTGCGTGTCAAAGGGGAAGCTGTTGAGCTCGAAAGACTCGCCGAACTCGCCGAAGATCTTCCATGTGAGTTGATATGTGCGGTTTTTGTTCTCTTTGTCGTCTTTGTCGTCTTCGTCTTTGTACGACCACTCCGGGAGATACTCTGGGAGAATCGGATCCACCATGTTCTCAACCACCAGCCGATGGTTGACTCGGTTGATGATTCTTGAAGGTTCTGGTTCCTCGTTGTTCCGCACAAGCTTTGTAAGCAAGCTCTCCAAGTCTTTCAAATCCACCACTTGCTTCTTTTCTGTGCAGTTTGCGGCCTCGTTAATTGGGATAGTGTTGCCGGCACCATCCACTTTTGCCTGCGGCGAGCCCTCCGAAACGTTTGACTCATCGGCTGGCTTCTCTGCCGCACTCGGGTCACGCTGTTGGTCGGAAGCATCGCCATTGGGTGCCGTTGTTGCCACATGCACGGTTCTCGACTTTTTTCCGTCCATCACGGAAAAACTGTCAAGAAACTTCTCGATCTCTGCGCATCTTTCAGTGTTTGACAAAGGCACTGACTCCACTGTTTTCATCTCGAGGAACAGCTGTGCTTTGAACGTCTGATTCATTTGCTGAACTTCCATGAACTTGTCGAGGTTTACCCGTACGGTCATTCTCAGCTGGTCGTTTTTGTCGATGTCCTTGCACTTCTGGTACTCATCTTTGTTAAGCTTCTTTTTCACCCGAGAACCATCCCAGTCAGAGACTACCGGGGCTGGAGCAGTTGCATCCCTGCTTCGGTTCATGCGCATCTGACGAAGCCCCTGTGGTTGCGGGCACGGTCTCTGCGTGCAATTTCGGCCTAATAGACGGCTGCGATCAAGCTTGGAAACTTCGAGAGCAAAAACTGTGTCAGAGCTGGATGATATCAGCTGTTGCACTTCCTGGCTTCTTTCTCTGCCGATGAAGCACAGCAAAACAGGCTTGGAGCCGCTACCACTTCGTGAAGCTCGACCTGCAGCTTTGCTAGATGCAGAGTCTGAGCACAACTCTGTGATGCGACGGCTCTGCCCTGTTCAACGTCGGAGAGGCCTTCCAAGCGCAAAAGGCTGGCTCGCAAGACCCTGGTTACGGTCCTGGCTGTGCCGATGGGCCAGCCGAAGGCCGTTTGTGCCGCGGCCCTGCGGCAATCTGCTCCGGCCTTTCGACAAGGCATGAAACCCTGCATCGCCGGAACACGGCGCCGCATGACACCCATTGGTGCTGAACCCCTATCGCCATGTTTTCCCGCCTCAAAGTTGTGGTTTTCCCAGCACGACCTTTGCCCACAATCCAAAGGCGGACAGCCGGGAGCGGCGCTGGCCCGTGAGGAACTTTTCCTGTCTGCTGGGAGGCCCCAGGCGTGAAGGGGATTGCACTGCCTCAAAGATGCACGGCATCGAAAACATACAGCAAAAGGTCGAAGCCGGAGGGAGAAGAGTTGTCACGGAACGATGGCAACAGTAACAAAACCAGTGCGGCAATGATGACTATGATAATGATCAAGATTCTGGGGTCACAGGGCTGCAACCACTCCCAAACGCACACCCATCTGATCCGAAGAGCTTTGCAACAAGAGCGGCGGCCTCTTTGTGCTGCTCCTGCTTCAGCTGGTTAATCTGCTTCTCCACCTCTGCGAGTAAGTAGCTCCTGAGCCGTCTCATGCTCGGGCTTCCAGCGCAGCAACTCCTGGATGTGTTGTAGTGCCAAAATCGGTTTCCGGAGGTCAGAAACGCAGATTCTCGCCAACCATTCACGGTTCGACGAGTCTTCGTCGGGTTGGAGCCGCACTTGACGCTCCATTCTCTCGGCGGCTTCGTCGACTTTGCCGGCTCTGTAAAGTGCATGGCTCAGAAGCCCGCCGCCAGGCCGCGACTGTCTCCAGCACGTCCTCGTAATCGCCGCTGCGAGGGTCTTGCTGTTGTGCCTGGCTGGTTCGCTCTCGGCTGAGCTGCGAGCTCTAGGAGATGTGCGGTTGCTGTCTCTCACTATTTCTTCTGTGCCTGCACCTTCAAGGTGGCTCGGGCCTCGTGACTCTCTGTCCTAAGCTTGCGACTCCTGGACCTCCGGGGTTTAGGATTTGCTGGCCGCCTCGACCTCAGCCGCCATATCTGCATCGCTGGTGGCTTGTGGCCCATCCGGCACACGTACATGGGAAGAGATCCAGGTCGCATTGACGGACCAATGGCATGGCTAGAAAGCATGGAGAGAACAAGTTCAGTAGACAAAACTTAGGTTGTCTGTGATTGCCAATGGACTCCCGAAGATCTCGAAACTGATTCACACGAGCGTGGCGAGTGATGCGAAGGTGTCTGACTTGTACGTATAAGCACCGAAACGTAAACCTTACGCCCACAAGTCCGAAGCCCGGGATCTTCGGGGTAACTCCTTCTGTGCTGCTTTCCAGCTTTTCTTGACACAGACTCCCACAGACTGGCGAAGACTGAGCTTTTGGCATTAGGCTCCTGAGCAAGGCATGATTGCCATGGAGCTCTCTCGGTGACGGACTCGGAATGTAGCCGCCAGCGCAATGGTCGGCCTGGGCTCGACAGCTCCCGTCGCAGGTACGGCGGGTTTGTCCACGATGGGCATGCACTGCCAGCATTGCTCTGACAAGAACAGGCGTAGTCAACAAATGACAACATCTGCAGGCCCAGACCCTGCACAGAAGCATTGCAGGAGTCTACAGTCTAGATGTGAAGGAGTCACGACCACTATCTGAAAATCGCAAGTGGGGTGTCAAGGAAATTATGACTGCTACTCGACCGTTGTGAATGATGTGTCTTCATGGATCATGTCGCTCGCTGTGTAAATGACGACCGGTGCATCACATGAGTATTTCAAGCCGTCAAGCACAGCACCAGCGATGGTCAATATTGAAGCAGCGGCTCAACACGGTGAAGTCGAATGCCATGCTCATCGGAACTGGGACCGCTGCTGAGCGCGTCTTTTCAGTGCCTTGCCGTAACACACTGGGACCGTGCGGCCAGAGAGGGCCCAGACTCGGGATTACAAGGGGAAAAGGACACTGCTGCGGAGATCAACTGGCTGCTGCAAAATCCCAGACATCTGCGGTCAAGTCTTCACATTTTCGCGCGGGAGTCGCGGTGCCACATTACTTCAATGTGTCCGGCATTGCCGGACAAGAGCGAAGGCGGCTGTACAGCCTCGGGCCTGTGGACAAACACACAGAGCAGATGCTACGGGAGGGCGAGCAAGCTTGACCTGCACCACCCAACTCTGGCCACGTTTGCATGCTGCAAGAGTCGTGGCCGGAGCACGTGCGTTCAACGGATGAAGCTCTTAAACGAATTTCGAGCACAGCGCTGTGCAGAATGCGGCACCACACGCCGCAGCAGAGGAAACTGCTTAAGGAGTGTGTGTGTGTGTGTGTGTGCGTTGGTCGCAAAGGAAGCAAAACGCACAAGTCGTCGTTGTTTTTTATCAGCATCGCCGAACTGGTTGGAACTCCACCCTGAGCTGCTTTTCCAACTGCGAGCCCTGCACTTAACCAACCACCCTCTTGTGACTCTTTAGGCTCTGCGTGGCTTCGTCCATCCAGTCGTCACATGCTCCATTCAAGAGCAACAATCGGAATAATTTCGTATGCCGGCAGGACAGGGTCGCAAAGCCGCGTCCTTTGGAGTTAGCAAAGCCTGCACGCCGTTCCTCCTTGAAGGGCGCAGGGTTTCGCAGCTCCGGTTCATGCAGACAAGGACATCGCTGTTTCGAGAATCGGCGGGACGGCAGGACGACAGGAAGGAGGCAAAGCAACGAATCAAGAAAAAGCAGGGCAAAATGGCCTGCAAGACACCCACCCCCGTGCGACTTCTAGAGCGCAGAGTCAAAGTATACTCCCCTCTGTCAGTCCTAGATCACCCATCCGGCCCATCTCCGCTGCAGCTCCAGGATTCGGTCCTGCACATGAAAGGCTTGGCCGAAGAAGCGCTCAGAGAGATGTCTGCCTCGTCGTCGGCGTCCGCCAGGCCGAGGGACCTGTCAGAAATAACCCCAAACCCTAAACAGTATAGTAGTTGTACTCGAACCCTAGGCCGTTTGCGGCAGGAAGGCCCACCTCGACTGTAGCAAGCCAGCATGTTGCTGCAGGTCACTGAGGACCTGGTCCGCTGTCAGTGCTTCCACCTACCAGGGCTTTGCTCAGCATCCGGATGTCTGCGTCTTGTACAGTTCTTGTGGCCTTGAGCGTTGATGGGGAGAGCGAGGCGATGCAGCCCAAGACGGTTGACCACGTTCGGAGACGGAACCCGCTCTAAGTCTAGGCAGGAGCACAACCGCACAACCCCAAACCCCGGACCCCAAAACCCTATAATTACTATACCCTTGAATTAGAAACCGCAAAACCCTGGAACCCTAAAGCAGCTGATATAAAATGCGCTGCTCCTTCAGGTGGGCGAGGCTTTCGCCGAGCTCGTTGCGCGCAGCTCGGAAGGCGTCGAAAGACGCTGCACTGAGCTGCCTCCGGGCGGTTCTTCCGAAACAGAAACAGGACTGGTTTGGAGCAAAGTTTATCTTTGCTTCGTACAATGCTAGAACATCTTGTTAGTCAGCGGAGGCACCGAACGGGTAAGGGCCTGTGTTTAGAGTTTCGGGATGTTTCGGGTTTAGAGCAGCAGCTGGCTGGTATCTACCAGGCTCAGCAAGTCCTAGCAGCACTCCCAGACGAACGTCGGGCTTCTTTCTCGCCCACACGCACAGCACCGGGCTTACCCTTGAGAGACGGTGGCAATGGCATGACAGCGCGAACTTCACAGAAATGGAAACATGAAGAGTTTTTTCTTCATGCGCATGTAGTACACCACAACATACCACAAGCAAAGCGGGCTGTCTGGAGTGCATCTGAGACGCGCCACGGCAACCCGCAGCAAGCCAGCTCCCTTACGGAGCTCCAGCAAGGCCACGGGGACGGCCTGATCCTGCGCCTGAGAAATTCTGCATGCCACAACACACCAGGGAGCCACCTCAGCTCAGACGTTTCACTGCCTCGCCAAAGGATCCCAAGTTTGCTGACCTGCGTTCCGCAAGCACACCGCAGTCATAGACCAGGGCCTGGCATCGACACGAGGGCTGGTGCGACATGCTCTCCGTGCATCCGGACAGGGTCATTGCGCTCACTTCGTGACGTGAGCCGGCCTTGTCACTGCTGCTGTTGCGAAGCATGGCGAATTTGTCACCGAGCTCCGTGTGCAACATCTCGAGAAGCTCCGGCCAGCAACCTTGTAGGCAAAGGATGTCCTTTTTGCTGAGAAGCTCCAGGGCCACTTGTGTTATCGCTTCCAGGTTCAGAGAGGCGCTGTCGTCGTCCGGCTCGCAAATGCACCAGGAAGCGATGCGAAGGGTTTTGGCTGCGAAAGTGACTTCCGCACCAACTGGAAGGTGTCGAGAAGGGAACTCCCACCGATGGCCCAAAGGCCGGGTGATAGGCGCGGACAAGGTGCGGAGCTTGTTCCACAGGACAGCCGCAGAGGACGCCTCTAGCAGTTCCTGGACCCTCACTAGCTCTTTCTTCACATGCCTGGCGGTGCTGCAGGCACGTGACCGACGACGGGTGGCGATAGCTGACAGCCCCACAGAACTGCTCCGTCTAATGCCGGAATTGACGTCATCGTCTATGAAGAGACTCTTGAGGAGAGTTGTAGAGAACTGTAGACACTCCAGAGCTTCCTGCATCTCCGCCTTTTGCTCTGCCGTCGCGGTCTGAAAATTCCCGAGCGTTGTCTGCAGGCGCCCCAGGCTGTGCCCTCAGCCCCACCGCTCAAGGAGATCAAATCGCCCAGTGCGCTGCAGAAGGAAAGGACCGAGGCCCGGGCACAAGGCTGGCAGGTCGCCCAAGGCATCCTCCTCAAACTGCGGCTCCTGCGCACATCGGCTTACTCACGTCATGGAAAAGTGCGGGAACCGTGGCTCCTTAAGCATGCTCCAAAGCGTTGAGACGTGTGCAGCGAGTTGTGTCAGCTCCGCCAGCCAATGTGCGAAGAGCGGCTTTAGTGCCTGGGAAAGGCTTCGTCCAGGTGCTGCCCTCCGAACAACCCTCACACCTGTACGAGCCTCGAGCATGACCAAGTGCTCCTCGATATCAAAGTGCCGCTGCGCCAGGTACGCGCTTCTTTCCCACAGCCGCTTTGCCTCAGTGACGAAATCCTGCAAAAGGAAAACAAAAACAAATAGTGAGTGAACCGCCACCATCCCTTGAGGGTCCGGCATACTTCACGGCCTGAGGGTGAGGTCCGGAGTAGTCCTGTAGACAATGTTCCACGGCGACAAGGAGATCTTTCTCGGGGGTGACTGGGTGAACTTGCCCGTCCGCATCCGTGAAACCGCAGCGGATCACATTCGTAACTTCGAAAAATCTGAGGGGAGAGTCGCTCTCGTCAAAGAGCCTGACCTTCGCCAAAACTTGCAGCTTGGCTGTCCATGCACGATGACCTTCCGCCAAAGCTTCTGGAAGGGATATCTGCCTGACATCGCTTCTTTGCATCTTGCCTTCTTTCACATCTGTGGTCGCCCAGGTCAGAAAGGATTTCCCGCGTGCATCTGCATAACCAGCCTTGAGGCCGTCCCATCGGACCTTGATGCGTTCCTGCTGCTCGCAGCGCTTGGGCACGTCCTGCAAGAGTGTAGCCAACTCTTGCAGAGCCTGGTCCTTGTCCCTCGCATCCATCGCCAAATACTCCTCTACATCGACGTCTCCAGGGAAGTGCGTCGCCTTGAAACGGAAGCTTCCGGCTGGTCGCACCCCCGGCTGCACGGAGATGCACTGAACGACCTCTCTCAGCTCCTGGTCGAGGTCGGGAATGAACCGCTCTTGCAGCAGATCATTCAAGCGGCAGGAGGTGCACTGCATCCCACGGAAAGCACATTCAGTCCGAGGGCACCTCGGAACCGGTGCCAACGGTTGAATTACCGATTCTGGCTTGAAGCCGAGGACGTCGGACAGCCTTTGGAGCAGAGAATCCGGTGTGAGTTCGCCATGGATCCTCATCTTCAAGAGCTTGGAAGTGTTGGCTGGAAAAAGGCTGAGGTGTATGCGACTACTTCCCATCAGCAACTCGGCACAGTTTCTGAAGATCTGTGGTGGTCCCGGTCTTAGCAGTCGCTTGCCTTTCGTTTGGCTCGAAGGGCGGCGGCAGGATTGTAGCTGCAGTGGTGCGCCCACAACCTGTGGAGGGTTGGGTCGCTTCTTTTTGACCTCGAGGTCTTTGCAAAGCTCCATGACCATCTGCGGAAAGATGTTGGTGGAGAGCAGCCCATCGGTCCGAATCCAGACCACGTTTCCCTCCGGAGGCTCTGGCAGATCTGCTGCCGCCAAGCAGCTCGGCACCAGATACTCGCTATCCATGCCACGCTTCAGGAGCAGGCCCTTCTGGAGCATCACTTCAATCAGCAACGACACCACAGCACCATCGCTGTTGAAGTCCGGTTTCCACAGCTTTTCCAAGAGAGTTTGCGAGGTAACTCCGCTAGTCTTGAAGCGCCTGACGTCTTGCCTTGCACCAGTGGTTCGGCGTTTCAGCTCTTCCCGGTACTCCTCGGAATGCTGAAAACTGGACTCTTCCCAGAACCGAAGGCTCATGAGGCTCGTCAGTGCCACAGCCACCTTACGGATGTTGAGCAAAACATGTCCTCTGAGCTTGGGCTCATCGAACCAGTATAGACTGCCCAGCTCGTGAAAAAGCCTTAGTGCGTAGGACACTTCCTCTTCGCTCAGTCTCGCAGGCTTCATTCCGCCGAGCATGCTCTGCACTTCATGCAGCTCCACGACATCACACTGCAGCTTCACCTGAATGTGCGCTTCTGACACGGGCTGTCGGTCTAGAAGCTTGCCACCTTTCGGGCAGAGCACCCGGGAGTCGCCCTGCTTGCCCTGCAGCGGTTTTGTCAAACAGCGGCTCTCTTCGTCCAACGCATCGCGAAGCTCCTCTGTCGCAACAGTCATCTCCAGACCCTCTGCCAGCTCGGCGAGGGCATCGTGGGCACGAAGAAGAGACACCGGGTGTTTGGCGGATTGCAATCCCATGTGCGGCAAACGCTCCGCATCCTCGGGTGGGTCGATCAGAAGCTCCGTGGCCAGCTGTCTTAAGCGTTCTCGCAAGGGTGCAATGTACTGAAACGAATTGTCCGCAAAGTTCTCCACGGCAAAGAACCACCTCGACTCACTCCCCTGGCGAGGTTGCAGCCTCGTGCGCAATGATGGCAACTGGTACAGGAAGCCGTCCACGAGCTTGTCCATTTCGGCAGCCTCGAAGCGTCGGTGAGCCCACTTGGTCGCGACCAGCAAAATGGGTGCGGCCTTGTTCTGGCGTTTCTGTTCGGGGTCTACTGCGAAGCGGACGACGGTCCAAAGCCAGAACCATAGCTCCCTCCGAGCTTCCTGCAGGGTGGAGAGAAATTTCTTCTATGTACTTTGCAAGACAGGTGGATAAAATTTCGCTGGCTACACATGCAGCCACACAGCCGAAGGCTTCGGAAGTATGCGTGGGTTGCATGGCATGAATGTGCAAGCATGGCTCATGCTGGGCCACACCTCCAGACTGCAGCTGGCATCACAAAAAACCGTGTAGATGCCACGGCCGTTGAAGTATAGCAGGTTGCACTGGGCATACTCCTGCCATCGCAATTCCACATCAGAATGTGCAGCATGTTTGCCGGGACATATTAGCGAATTGATGCTGAAGTTCTCTGAGAATCCACATGCTAAAACAAGAACCGCAAGAATACAAGGCCTGGATATAAATGACATGATGCCTTCGCCGGTCCTGTTGCCCAGGAAAATCCCAGCATTGTAGCCTTGGGTGCATCATTGGGTCCGATACCTGCCCATTCCGGACCTCGAGGAAGAGGTTGTTGAGCGATCTGGGCCCGAGCGTCTCGCTGTCTGGTTCAGCACGTTTTCCTCCCTCTCTGCCAACTCCTTCTCCTTCTCCTTCTCCTTCTCCTTCTCCTTCTCCTTCTCCTTCTCCTCCTCCTCCTCCCCTTGAGCCTCCTTCTTCCCTTTCTTCTGATCTTTCTTCTTCTGCTGCCACGGTCCCTCCTCCTTCTCTTCCAAATTCCCGCTCTCCTGACCTGGCTTCTTCTGCCATCTTTTCGATCACTGCCTCGTCCTCCTTTGAATCAGCTGGCAGAGTCGGTTTGACCGTGTCGCCCTGAGAACTCTCGAATTCGGCTCCTCGCAGCATGTGTGCTGCGGTCACCTCGAAAGTGCTCCTGGTGCACTTTTCGAAAGCAGCTCCCGACAGCTGCTCCTGGGCCTCCCCGACCCAGACTTCCACACCGAAGGTGGAAGGCTCCTCACCTTCCCGAACATCGTCCCCTTTCAGCCTCCTTTGCAGGGCAGGCCGGGCTCTCAACCGGGACATGCCGACTTGCAGACCCCGGCCATTACCACAAAAGACACGATGGCTCAAGGACGAAACAAGCTCCGAAATTGCTCGGATGCAACGCAACCAACGCTTAGAGAGATGGCATGAAATCTTCTGCGATGATTCCAAACAATCAACTCCAACAGTTCACCAAGCTGGATCCATTCCGGAAAGTACCAGACATGGGAGGCCCCAAGCAATTCCCGGCCCAACGCGGCCTCAAAGTAGTGGTCTTGCCCGCCCTAGGCAAAGGCGCACGACTGGAAGTGGTGCTTTGCCTTCCTTCTGCCAAATCATGAGGGCCCGCTCCAGTCGCTCTTCCTTCTCATGCTGGAGTTCCTTCTTGCTGAGTTCCTTCTCAGGCATGGTCAAACGCTGGTGACAGGAGATAGCGCATCGTTCGAACCTCGACCTAGGACGTGGAAATCAGGGTGTTCCATGCCCACATGTTGCTGTGGAATGAACGGGGCGTTGCTCAGCCAAATGCACTACAGAAATGTCACGAGTTCGCAGCCATGCGGTAACACAGCATAAAACATCGCAACCCGGTATGGCTGAGCGATTGGCGCTGACCGAGCAAACGCAACCACGAGACACGTCTGCCGACCAGATTTAACGGCCGCAGCTACGACACAGACAACGGCGCCGAGGAAGAGGAGGACAAGGACAAGGAGGACAAGGACCAGAAAGAGGAAAACGTCGATGGAAACAACCACTACGACAACGACCACTTACCACCACCACCACCACCACCACCACCACCGCCACCTGCTAAATGACACGAGCCCAATGCACGACCTAATGTCCAGGATTTGTGAATGTAATAATGCCGAATGGCATGGGCTCAAGCTCAAGACTGGACGACTGCTTGGTTGCACAAAGGAAACTGGTGCGATTGATTGATTGGGGAAACATACTGTTCACAGGTGATTGAGCCCAACTGTCTACATAGATTGTACAGTGGAATTTTGCATGGTAGCGGAGCTTCGGCTCTGGAACCAGGGAAGAGTGAGGAAAAGTGAGAAAGAATGGATTTCGGAGTGCGAGGAATAGGAGGTGAAATAAAACTGTTTCCTCCACCGACTTACCACGGTGAGTTGGAGAAATGGGAGGACTGGTCGCGGCAGCTGAAGAGATACGTGTTTGCCAAGCAACTGGCTTACATGCTAGCACAGATCACTGACGGAGCTGCGAGAGCGATTGTTAGGAATGAAGACACAGAGAATGGCTTTGAGATTTGGCGTCGGCTGCACAATCAGTGCTCACTGCCGACGAGAGCTCGTGCCACGAATCTCTTGAATGAGATCATTGCCTTCCGATTGCGACATGACCATATGGAGAGTGATCTGAGTGACTTTATAATTCTCAAGAATCGACATGAGAAGACGACTGGAGCGCCTTTGGTCAATCATCTGTTAATCACATTCATAATACTCATCCATTGCAGCAGCATCTGAGGCTGAATGTCAGGAATATCACGACGTTCACTGAAGCACTGGAGATTGTGCATAGCTACATCAAGAGTAGGCAACTTGTAGTGCCAAGCAGGAATGACGGTCCGGTCGATATGGATATTGGAGCACTGAAAGGAAGGAAAGGATACAAAGGAAAAGGAAAAGGAAAAGGAATGTACAAAGGCAAAGACAAAGGATTTGGATTCAAAGGTAAAGGAATGTTCAAAGGAAAGAGCAAAGGTTTCAAAGGAAAGAAAGGAGGAAAAGTGCAAAATCTTTTCACCCGTCAAGAGCAAAACGCCTGTGGTACCGGTCGTAGCATTCCATATGCAACTGTGGCATACGAAACACAGGAAACACATGTGGCATGTAAAAGTACATGTAGGTTTTGCACCCTTCCTTGGGATCCTGTGCTCCCAATTGATTCCACTGACACCTATCAGAACTTGTCTGAACACTAGAAGAAAAGACCAAATGTACAGCTTGACTGAGACCTTTGGCGTCGGCAAAAGAAAAGCTTTGAAGCTGCTGTGCAGCTCATCTTTAAACGCGCTGAGATGGAGTTTCTCAACATCTCACAAAAGCGACTTGACAAGCTATGAAGTAATGTGCATGCACAGACACAGATGACATACTTAAATGTAGAGTGGCCTAAAGCACGCGTA